GCAGCCCATGAGCATTAATGTTTAGAGCAGTGGTTCTTTACCTGGGCGATATTGCCCCCCAGGGGCGATTTCATTTTTCAGGGGGGCGATGGAACGAAAAAGAGCGACACAGGGCGAAGGAATGAAAAGAGGGTGATATGGGGGCGATGGAGCGAGAGGTTTTGGGGACACTTTTGAGACTTTTTTGTACAGTGAATCACTGTATATCTGTCGTACGAAAAACATCAGATCGAATGTGTATTTTCAAATGTTCCTCCAGTTAGCTTCAGTACAGAACACCGTACATATGTGAATACGCATCGCTTATCTTCATGCATGTTGTGCAGCAGCCTCTACCCATACAGTGGCGCGCCACTGGCCAGAATATGGGAGATATGGGAAAAAGACTGGAAATAAATTATTTTATTGATATGTCCTGATGACAATTTTAAAGAAAACAAAAAAAGTGTTTGCATAAATTGAAGAATTATTTCCTATGTTGCGATTGAGAGGTTATGTTGGGGGAGGGGGGGTGATGACAACTTCCTCATTGGCTCAAGGGGGTGATTCATTCAAAAAGGTTAAGAACCACTGGTTTAGAGAGCCAATCAGGTGTCATCTTGTTTTGGCAATGAGCCAATCAGATCACAGTAGGATTTAGTTATTGATGTCATATATTGAAGCTGAGAGGAGGACATTTGTCAGTGTGTTATGTGATGGCTATCAAGTTGGTTGGGTTTTTTGGTGTTCTTTCATTTAGTGAGCTTGTAAAACATAATGAAATTAAAGTAATGGTGCAAAGAATTGACTGGTTGTCCAGAAAGCAATGTAAAATAGTATTATTAAGTGAGCAAGGCTAGAGTTATAAAGAAATTAGAAGAAAAATTGGTGGAAACTTAACCAAAGGTGGCACTTCTACTGTACACTTTTCCCAAAAGGTTTCCACAATTTTGGCCACTACTGTAGGTTCCATACAGAAGTCCTTAACTCAGTGGTTCTCAACCTGTGGGTCGGGACCCCATTTGGGGTCGAACGACCATTTCATGGGGGTCGCCAAACCATGCTGTCCACCATTTTGTTCCCTTTTCCCTAGCTGTCCTACTCCCTCTTATTGGTGGCCACACCCACTTGGGGGTCACCACAACATGGGGAACTGTATTATGGAGTCACAGCATTAGAAAGGTTGAGAACCATTGCCCTAACTAATAAGAATAATTCTGCAGATTTTATCAAAGCCTGACATCATGATGTCATGGGCCTGCTATGGTTAGGAGACTGCAAGATCTGACCTTGACTGGCTGGCATGTAATGTTGGGAAAGGAATCAAAAGTGTAAGACTTCAGAATAACAGAGCTGGAAGGGACCTTGGAGGTCTTCTAGTCCAGCCACCTGCTCAAGCAGGAGAGCCTATGCCAGGGGTAGGCAACCTCGGCTCTTTTATGACAGCTGGCTCAGGAATTCTGGGAGTTGAAGTCCATGAGTCATAAAAGAGCCGAGGTTGTTTATCCCTGGCCTATGCCATTCCAGACAAGTGACTGCCCAATCTCTTCTTAAAAACCTCCATTGATGAAGCACCTACAACTTCTGAATTAATTGTCCTAACTGTCAGAAAATTTCTCTTTACTTCTAGGTTACCCTGATTCCTCCCCCTTCTACTTTATTCAGTAAACAAAAGGGGGGGAGGAAAACTACGCAGGCTGGCTTAGAATGAGCTCTAAACTTCTAGACCAGTGTTTCTCAACCTTGACAATTTTAAGGCATGTGGACTTCAACTCCCAGAATTCCACAGCCAGCATTGCTGGCTGTGGAATTCTGGGAGTTGAAGTCCACATGCCTTAAAATTGTCAAGGTTGAGAACATTGTTCTAGACTTTTCTTAATATGAAGGAAAATCAAAATTTGTCATTAAATTCCTAGAAATAACAATGGCCTTCAGGACTGCTACTACAGATGTTGACAGGCTCAGTTAGACTTCATTCTTCTTTCGTTCATGGAAAAATCTGTAGGGGCCCAATAAGATCACATGATCCTCAGGATGAAGAATGATGAATACAAGCACATTTCCTGCAGCCAGAAATCTAGCATGTCTAAGAGGAAGGTTTAAATCTAGCCGGAATGATATTTTTCCCCAAGAGATTTCCTGTACCCGTGCAAAAAGGAATTATTAACTTATTCATTTTGCCTGCCTCGGAGATCAGACAAATGATCTTCTTAAAAACCTCTAGTGTTTTTTTGCAGCCTTTTGTGAGAAATAAAGAGGGAATGTATTGTTAAGCTTTAGAACCAACATGTGTAGGTAGAAGGAATCAAGTTGTGTCTCTTGGTGTGTCAACAAAAATAAGGTTTCTGCCCACAAAATTACATTATGGGAAACTGAAACCTCTTTGTGGCTAAACATGCAACACTCCCCATTTCCGTTGCAAATGATGACAGAGGTTGTTCCTTTTCTTCCCCCCCTTTTAAAAAGTGGATAACATTCGTTTTTCTAACTTTAAAATGACAGTAAATTTTGCAAAAAACCGCAGCCCAATTTTAGCAACCGTTCCTCATATGTTTTAGCCTCCAGCCTCCTAATTTTCTGAGTGTGGTTTTACTAAGCTTACTAAGTGACATTAATACTTCACATGAACTTAATTCTATCCTTCTGTTACTGCAACGTAGGATTGCATTGGATTTTTTGGCTGCCACCGCACATTACAAACTCATATTTAAGTGCTGCAGATGAAAGAGTACAGAGAAGAGCAACAAAGATGATTAGGGGACTGGAGGCTAAAACATATAAGGAAGGGTTGCTAGAATTGGGTATGTCTAGTTTAACGAAGAGAAAGACAAGGGGGGACATGATAGCAGTATTCCAATATCTCAGGGGCTGCCATAAAGAAGAGGGAATCAAGCTATTTTCCAAAGCACCTGAAGGCAGGACAAGAAGCAACGGGTGGAAACTAATCAAGGAGAGAAGCAAACTAGAACTAAGGAGAAACTTCCTGACAGTGAGAACAATTAATCAGTGGAACAACCTGCCTCCAGAAGCAGTAAATGCTCCAACACTGGAAGTTTTTAAGAAGAGACTGGACAGCCATTTGTCCGAAATGGTGTAGGGTTACCTGCCTGAGCAGGGGGTTGGACTAGATGACCTCCAAGGTCCCTTCCAACTTTACTACTACTATTATTATAATGGTGCACTGATGAAGTTAGTAGTCTAGGTAATGAAACGTCTTCAAGAAAACAACCAAGCCCAAAGATCACCAAGGACCCCTCACTTCAATTCCGAGCTATGATTATTCTCTCATCCTGAGCTTTTCAGTGCTAAAGGAGTGCTTTTGCCTTTAAACAGACAACGCCACAACTGTTTTCTGATGAGGGGATTCTGAATGAACATCATCCACAGGAGGTAGCCCTCAACTTATAGCCATTCGTTTAGCGATCGTTCGAAGTTATAAAAACTCTGAGAAAAGTTATTTACAACCGAACTTCACACTTAGAACTGTCAAAGCATCCCCCATCTGCCTTACTGTGCAACAAACCATAATAATATCATATTATAATAATTGATAATTATAATTATAACAAATTATAATTATCAATTATAATTCAAAGACCAGCAAATAGAAATAGAATGACAGTGACAAAAGAAAGCAAAAGTAGTACCAATAATAATATGAGCCTTGGGTGCAATCTCAAAACATCTGGAGCATCACTTGAATGCCATCGGCATTGACAAAATCCCCATCAGTCAATTGCAAAAGGCAGCTTCACTTGGAACAGCTTATATCCTACGATGTTGTCTTTAACACCAGCAAAAATTAACATCTGTCTATCCCAGATCCCTGGGAAAGATTCATTGGGTAGATAAAATTGCCAAACTGAGTTTAAACATCTGGCTGTCTGTGTGTCAAACCATCACAATATCAATATTTTGAATTCCAAAACGTTGCAACTATCCAAGAGAACAGAAGGATTTAAACTTCACAAGAAAGCAAGAAGAATGTGCTGCTCTGTATGTTTTGTTAAGAAGAACATTTCAGAAACAACGAAGGATCACCCCAATATCCTTTTTCAGGTTGCTCAGTTCCATATCCTTCCAAATACTTTTTTTATCTAGCAAGCAGATGCACAATTCTACACAAGTCTTTGCTCATACAGAGAGGTGGACTGCCATCCATGACATTTATACAATAACAACTGTGCCAGTCCACAAGTTACCATAAAACGGTTAACAATGGAGAGACCCAGCAAGCTCTTTGTAGACATTAGGACTAGAAAACACAGATAACACACACACACACACACACACACACACACACACACACACACAAAACCTGCTGAAAAACTGCATTGAAACTGCTCCAAAGTCTGATGAGATATTAGCAGCTAAAATCTGATGATGTGCATACAATATACTTAAACCGTGATATTCTTAATATTCTAGAAGTCCCTCAAGATCTGGTTATGTCATTCACACAAGGGATTCCCAGGAAACAGAGATAGCCTTCGATGGCTCCATAGCAAGGTACTCATTATATATTATTATATTGCCTGCTTTTACATGATGTCATTATTTGATTGCTGTACGCCGCCCAGAGTTACAATTTTTATGAGATGACCGGCTATATAAATTAGATAAAGTCATAAATAAAACAACCAGATCAGATCGGATCAAGATTTATTGGTTTTATTTTTGCAGAATACTAATCTTGATTATTTAATTAAGTAATTAATATGCCACTTATCTCACTGTTGAGCAAGTCTAGGCGTCCCGTGACATCATAAAAACAAGAATATAAATACACTGAAACTTTAAGCCTTAAGAATTAAGAAAAATTGGGTAGACTAGAAACCAGGAAACAGACAGGGTGGTTAGTTTTTCTGGTGGCAGGAAATCAGCCCTTAAGATGAGTTTAGGCTTCAGGGTATTGGACAGACCCAGAAAATGAGATGATTCATTAAGGATGCTATGGAAAGCCTACACATACAAAATCTACAATCTATTCCATTCTATGTATGTTCCTCATTTTAACTTACCTCCAGCAAACGGGATCAGCATGAGCAGTAGCAATGGTTTCATCCTCCTTTAGATCCCTCTTCCACACCCTCATCACTCTTCCCAACACCTAGGAGAGGACCTGGGAGGCAGAATCCAGGTGCCCAAAAAAGCGGGGTCAAACTGAAGCTAGGGCTGTGAATGACGCTATTAGAGTGAGCACCCCGGGGGAGCACCCCAGTTTCTTCAGACACAACCTATGATTCTGGGTGACACCCCATCGCTGCCCTCCCTTTAAAAAGAACAAGACACATCCTGCCGTTTCTGTTCTCCATTGTCGAAGATTTCCTGCCCCACACAATGCCTGGGACGGGAAAGATTTCCTGTTACCCAGGGCGCTGTTGTCAACAGTGGACAAAGGGTGGGAATGGCTAGGGTGGGTGGCTGATGAGGAAGAAGGGAACATTAGCCAAGGAACAAAAGCAGAGTAGAATAGTAGTAAAAGGTGTTGTACTGTACTGACGTTGGAAACAGGGGTACGAACTGTATTCAGGGCAAGGAGGTGGGCAAAGGGTATGGAGGTGATGAAGTGATGAAGAGCTGAGCTCAACTCATGGGGGATGCATCCAGCTCAACCAAATCTTCTCGTTCGTCAGGGCTCCTTGTGATGGTTCTTCTGGTGTGATCTCTGCTGGCATGATGTTCCTTGTAACGTTTCTTGTGGAAAACTGGATTTCTAAGCAGCATCTCAGAAGTCACTCAAGGATTTGGTGGAATGTTGTTGTTTTTTTTAAACTCCTGCTGCCACTTTAAGACACTTGGCTCAACTTGGCAACTTTAAGATGTCTGGACTTCAACAACCAGCTGGGGAATTCTGGGCATTGAAGTCCACACATCTTAAAGATGTCAAGTTTGAAAAACATTACTCTAAGACAGGGCTTTTCAACCAGTGATATGGGTACCACCTGTGGTACATTGGCACCTGGCAGGTGGTAGGCGACCATCCTAGAAAAGTGGTAGCAGGGGAGGGGAATGAGCTGAACCGGGGGCAGCACCGCACAAGCCTGAGCGAGAGATGGCTGGAGCTGCAGGGCTGTCAGAGCTCAGTGGAAGCGCCAGGATCAGCGCCAGGCTCTAGCTGGAAAGCGGCACTGATCTTGGCACTTCTGTTGAGCCCAGAAGAAGCGCCAATCAGCTGGAATGTTGCAGCATCTTCAGGGTCTTGTGATTTACATTCAGATGCTTGGCAACTAATTCATATTTATGACGGTCACAATATCCCAGAGTCATGTGAAGTGACCAAAACCTGCTGCAACCACCCAGCAGACGGGGGGAATAAAAACCACACACCCCCACCCCACCCCTGCTGCCAGTCCTCAACAGAAATGCTCACCACAATGAAAACCTCGGACAGGAGAAAGAGCACCACCGTGTGGGCAGGCAGGTGTCTTGCTCGGCTGTGCCTTGGGGGACACTTTTTTCAGTGCCATTGTGACTTCGAACAGTCACTAAGCGAACTGTTGTAAGTCGAGGACTACCTGTACTTTATCATTTTTTTCCTTTTGGGGGGGGTCATCAAGTTTTTGACACCTTGCTAGGCGACTGGTGGTACTCGGATGTTGCCATATCCTAAAAGTGGTACAATGGGTGAAAAGATTGAAAAGCCCTGCTCTAAGAATTCTCCACCAAGTCTTTCTGTTGCCTTACTTCCAAGCCATCTAAGGCTTGACGTCTCTGCTTTTCACAGTTTGCTGCCACCAATTCCTAAGAAGTTAACTGACCTGCTTAGTACTTGAAAAGAAGGCCGCTAGGAAATCACCTGTCCATAGGGTAGATTGGAAAGTTGAACACACATTCTAGAACAGGGGTTCTCAACCTTGGCAACTTTAAGACTTGTGGACTTCAACTCCCAGAATTCCTCAGCCAGCTTTGCTGGCTGAGGAATTCTGGGAGTTGAAGTCCACAAGTCTTAAAGTTGCCAAGGTTGAGAACCCCTGTTCTAGAAGAAGGGAAAGGCACATTAATTCCATATTGGATGGGTGGGGGAGAGAACCCACATAGAGTCACTAGGAGTTGGTTGGGCTCTAAAAATATAATAATTATTTAGCGTTTTCACTCTTAACTCTCCTGTATCAAAAGTTTGCTATTCTGTCAAATCTAAACACTCATTTGATAGGGGCAGAAAAACTGCCTGGAATAACACACTAGGTCTTACTACAATTTGACTGTGTAGGCTGCTTGAAATCAGATCATGCGATAGAATAGAGAATAGCAGAGTTGGAAGGGACCTTGGAGGTCTTCTAGTCCAGCCCCCTGCTCGGGCAAGAAACCCTACTATTTCAGACAAATGGCTGTCCAGTCTCTTCTTAAAAACCTGCAGTGTTGGAACAAATACAACTTTTGGAGGCAAGCGGTTCCACTGGTTAGAATAGAGTAACAGAGTTGGAAGGGATGTTGGAGGTCTTCTAGTCCAACCCCTGCTCAGGCAGAAAACCCTACACCATTTCAGACAAATGGCTGTCCAGTCTCTTCTTAAAAACTTCCAGTGTTGGAGCACCCACAAGCTGCTTTACTGGTTAATTGTTCTCACTGTTAGGAAATTTCTCCTTAGTTCCAGATTGCTTCTCTCCTTGATTAGTTTCCATCCATTGCTTCTTGTTCAGCCTTCGGGTGCTTTGGAGAATAGCTTGACTCCCTCTTTTTTGTGGCAGCCCCTGAGATACAGGAAAACTGCTATCATGTCACCCCCTCGTCCTTCTCTTCATTAAACCAGATATTCCCCATTCCAGCAACTGTTCTTTGTATGTTTTAGCTTCCAATCCCCTAATCATCTTTGTTGCTCCTCCCTGCATTCTTTCTAGAATCTCAATATCTTGTTTATATTGTGATCAAAATTGAATGCAATATTCCAGTGTGGTCTTATAATCCCTTCTCTCTGTTATAGCTGAGATTACTATGCAGTTTTTCTAAATTGGTAGATTTGTGCATATTATGAATAGTGTTACTGTTATCCCAAAGGAAGTTTCGCTAATCTTCATCAAACACCTAGCTAGCCTGAACACAGAAATAGGTCTTTTAAGCCTGCCAGAAGACCAGCAGGACTGCGACCAGTTTAATCTGCAGTTGGATGATATTCCCCAGGGCGGGCTACCCCGTACTATGTTACTTACAGTTCCAGTATAATTTCACATCTGGGAAAATAATCATGTGCTTCTTTCCAAAGCTTTCACCATTTGTCATTTGGAAGCAAGACACGGGGTGTGGACAAGTGCTTAAGAAGCTACCCAAAATTGCTCCAGACTCCTTATCTCTAGTAACTGTCCAACAGGGAGAGCCAGCATCTTCTGTAGTTGAGGGATATCCGGTCTTATCTTCAAAGCAGAACAAGCTGACTTTTGTCTAGTCCCCAATTCCAAGATAAAACAGAAGCTCGGATAAACAGGAAGAGATGTGTTTTGCTATTGAAACAAATACATATTTCTACAACCCCTCCCCCCCGAAAAAAACCAGTGGCTATGCTGAGGGTCAGACAAGGTAACTGATCCGAGGCAGCAAGGCTGGTAATGAAGAAATATGGTGTATTTTTTTTTCCTGAACCCTGCCTTTATGCTCCTTATTGTGGATTTCAATTCTAAATCAAATCCATTCTGAAACATTTCGGTTGCTCAGCATCGAGTTCCAACTGATATACAGGTAGTCCTTCATTTGCAGCCCCAATTTCTGTTGCTAAGTGAGACAGATGTTAGGTAAATTTCACTCCATTTTATGACCTTTCTTGCAGCAGTGGTTAAGTGAACCATGGCAGTTGTTAAATTAGTAACCCGGCTATTAATCTGGCTTCCCCATTGACTTTGCCTGTCAGAAGGTCACAAAATGGATCCCCTCGCCTTGGGGCACTGCACCGCAACTGTCGTGAATAGGAGCCAGTTGCCAAGCATCCTGATTTTGATCACGTGACCCTGGGGGATGCTGCAACAGTTGTTAAGGGTGAAAAACGGTCGTAAGTCACTTTTTTCACTGCCGTTGTAACTTTGAACGGTCACCAAATACCGTAAGTAAAAAGCAAAGGAGAAAAGATTGTGTTAAAATGTGCACTGACATGTGCCCTGAGCTGGTTTCAGAGGAAATACACTCCAATACATACAATTGGTCATAAAAGCCCTTATAATTTGTTATGACTATGAACTGACTTTGCAACCTGAATTGCTGTTTCCAGTTCTGCAGTTCTAGGGTGCAAGAACTCAGAGTATTGGATTCATTAGTTATACTTATCTAATCAACTGAGTCATCTGAGAGCAGCACAGTCTGAAACGTCAGGAGGCAAGACATCCCCCAAAGCACCTGAAAGCAGAACAAGAAGCAACAGATGGCAACTAATCAAGGAGAGAAGCCACCTGGAATTAAGGAGAAACTTCCTAACAGTGAGGAGAATTAATCAAGATCAGGTGCAATGTTAATACCACTTTATAATGCCTTGATGAGCCAACACAGTGCTGGGCTGCATTAACAGAGAGATAGAATCTAGATCACGTGAAGTATTAATACCACTCTACCATGTCTTGGTAAGGCCACACTTGGAATACTGCATCCAGTTTTGGTCACCATGATATAAAAAAGATGTTGAGACTCTAGAAAGAATACAGAGAAGAGCAACAAAGATGGTTAGGGGACTGGAGGCTAAAACATTTAAAGAACGGTTGCTGGAATTGGGTATGTCTAGTTTAATGAAAGGAAGGACTATGGGCAGTGGTGGGATTCAGCCAGTTCGCACCAGTTCAATAGAACCGGTAGCTATTTTTTTTTTTTTTTTTTTGTTACCCAGGCCCAGAATGGACTTCCAGAAGCGGCATCCAAACATATATGAATTCCACCACTGACTACGGGTGACGTGATAGTAATGTTCCAGTATCTCAGGGGCTGTCATAAAGAAGAGAGGATCAATCTATTCTTCATAGCACCTGAAGGCTGAACAAGAAGCAATAGATGGAAACTAATCAAGGAGAGAAGCAATCTGGAATTTTGGTCACCCTATCACAAAAAAGATGTTGAGAGCTTGGAAAAAACTCAGAGAAGAGCAAAGCAACTAAAAATTATCAAACGCCTGGAAACTAAAACATATGAAGAACAGCTGCAGGACTTGGGTCTGGCTAGTCTAAAGAAAAAAAGAAACAGGGGGGATATGATAGTAATATTCCAGTATTTGAGGGGCTGCCACAAGGAAGATGGGGTCATGTTATTCACCAAAGCACCAGAGGGAAGGATGAGAGACAATGGTTGGAAACTGAACAAAGAGCTGAGGTGGCGCAGCA